ATGGATGGATGGATGGATGGATGGATGGATGGATGGATGGATGGATGGATGGATGGCAACATATGAAAAGTGATCACTTAACAATATTCTGCCTTCAGCTGTTGAATTGCAGTGTGTGTGCTCTGGAAGTTCACGCAGCCATAAGAAACTGTCCTTTGAGACCCATTGAGACCTCTACTCCAGTAATTGCATGTTTCCTGGTGGGGGGAGAGTGGTGGATGCAGTCTACAAAAGCTGGATTAAATCAAGTACAAGGGAGCTTGTATTTTTTGAAGGAAATTCATGTTTCTTTCTAAGCAACATTTTCCAGTGTAACCTTCGCCACTGCCTTATGTGAGCACTTAGAGAAGGACAAGCTGCTCTTTTGCAAAGCCAACTGAGGGAAAAAAAGCAGTGACCTGTGAGAATAGTTAAAAAAATATCAAAATACATTTTTTTTCCAGTAGACTTTGGGGATAATAAATATTTTGTTGACTTGTTTGCAGACATTAATACAGAGCAACTAGTCTAACACAGGTCCGCAAGGCTTACTTCTCTAGAATCATCAGTCTCCTCTTTTCCTGCATGCATACTTTGAGTAGCCTTTATAGCCCTGCTACAAACTGTTCACAGTGGAATTGGATGAGTTTTGAGGAGATAGTTGTTTTGGTGAAGGCATCTATCATATTAAATCAGTGTTAAAAAGGAGGCAGATACGACTAATCCTACCTCTTCAAGGATGCACATCAAAAATTTCTGTTAAAAATAGATACATTTTTCTAAGAATGCATTCAGAGGAAATTTCCCATTTATGGTTTCACGTGTCCCTTTTTGTTTAAGCTTAACATCTCCAATACCCATCAGATTTTCAGTTTCACCATGCTTAACTGACCCGAGCAGATTGTTCTTCCAGCATCACAGCAGAACCAACATGCCAGTGAAAGGGATTCTTTTCAGCTACACGCTTCATCAGCACTGGCATTGGTGAGACTCCTGTGCTGTACTTTCTATGGGTGAAAAGGGGACAGACAGCTACACATCCCATTTCTCAGTTCTGCAGGCTAGAGTTTGTAGAACAGGCTCTTGGAACATGGCTTTAGACTTGTACACTGAGCAAATTTGGTACAAAAGGCACAAAAGGAACTTCCACACAGTCTCACCATGCAATTTTTGCTGTCCAGTTTCTGAAAATTGTAATTTATCCTTAAAAGTTTCATCTCATCCTGATCCTGACTGCATTGTCTCAAAATACTGATAGTGTCACTGTGAAATTGTAGATGACTCAGTTTCCAACATCATGAAGAGTTAGAAAATGCATGTAGCCCACAGCCAAGAAAGCTCTTTTATCTCTTATTCAAGTGAGGACACTGAAATGGAAAAATACCAGGTCTTAGAGGGGAGAATAATCACTTGAGTTACATGTGAGTGTTATTAGTTGGAAAAAATGAAGAACTTACACTGAAAACATACTGAAACTGAAAGGCAATAGGGATCATAGTGTAGCCCAAATATTAAGCAGTTAGGAAATCCCATTAGAAAATGTGTGAGAGATTTCTTCAGTGATAGAGAACAAGGAATCTGTAGACAGGAGACTATTCTAAATAGACAACAAATAAAATAGAGATATGTCCCCACTTTTCCTTTGTGTATGACAGATACTGGAAGTCCTTGACCATGTCAGAAGTTTGGGCATATCACTGGTTTCCTTGGATTTTGTGATGAGGCCAGAAAGAAGAAAAAAGAAAAGAAAGAAAGAAAAGAAGAGGGAAAAAAAGAGCCTGGGAAACCCTCTAATTGTGCAGTCTCAGTGGTTTTGTTACTGCTCCAAAATAAGGGGTCAGGGCATAATAGCACTAGAAAAGCTTGGTTACTGTAGATTTTACATAACGAGTTCCCAGCTTCTCTCACTTCTCCCATTCAGTGTGTGCCCAGTTTTGCAACCAAGACAGAACAGAGAACAGATTTCAGCCATAAAGATGTCAGCGGGAGAGCTTGTTTTCCTTTGGTAAATTGCAATAAATTAAAGAAATGCCTTAGAGCTTGCAGGAGAAGAAAAAAACAGGAGGGAAAAAAAAAAAAAAAAAAAAAAACCTGAAAATGCTGAAAAGAATATTTCAGAATGTCCCAAATTTTTCCCCTTCCTTTTCTATGGTTTACTCTGAAAGGTATGGCTTTGGCAAAGCAGCCTCTACTGTTACCTGGTAGCAACACCTTCATTAGAAGCCTCTGTGTGCACAGGTGGTGCAGGACCCAGCACCCATCATGGACACTTATCTGGAGGCAGCCACAAAGAATCAGGAAGAAACACAAGAGCACCTGCTGGCAGCATGGCTGAGACACAACATTTACGTCCAACCTCAGTTCTGTGCTTGCAGTTTCATTATGATTTCTGGAAATGCCATCGTCCCTTGGAAATCAGCTTTTGCTGTGCTACAGTCTTAGGGTACTTCCATCAGAGATACAATAATACAGCAGCAATTCCTTATCGTGCACTGACACCTCCAGCCGCAATTAACTTCTCCCCTTTTCATTAGAGGCTTTTCTTCTGTCCCTTTACTTTGTCTCTCCCTTTTTTAAAAACAATAGCAGAAAAGGTGACAGCTGGTGTCAGTTGCTTGGGGTGCATTATAGGTAGAAACTCCATAACACTCCTGAAAGCAGAGATGTGGATACTACTGTCTAATTCCCCTCCTCCCAAGTCCCCCACCAAAGGACCTCTCCCCTAAATCTGAGCCATGATAAGAATCAGGTGCACTTGCACTCACTATGCCTACATAGCATACAATACTGTTGCACATGCAGCACTACTGTGATCCTTTCCTGCTACAGTTCAAGATGAGAATGGAATTAAGTTCTTAAGGACATGGGCTAGTTGAGCAGGGTGATGATGGGCTGACAATTGAACTGGATGTTCTTAAAGATCTTTTCCAATCTTAATGATTTTATGATTCTATGATTCTGACAGCACATCCCGAGCCAATAGATGAGAACTCTTTTTCATTAGAGAGCACATCTCCTAGCACAGACAAGATTATTTGGGTCAAATATAGGACTTAAGCTGAGTAGCTCCCACTACCATCAGTGAGCAGCATTTGACTAAATGTTCATGTACATAATTGAGCATTTATAAAAAACACAAGTTCATTAATACATGTATGTGTGCAAGTTTGTAGGAAGGCAAGTTTTTAGTTGCAGAACTCAGCTCTCTAACATAGTGTTTCTCAGATGAATGATAACTCATTCCCAAAAGATCTGTCTATGCGTGTGTCTGCCTTCATCAAAATAGAGATAATTCAGTAGGCACATACCAGTCTGCCTACACTCAGTTTTACACTCAAGTAACTATTTGGGAAAATTAGACCTTCAGCATTTAATATCCTGCTCACATACATTTGTTTTTTTCACACAGAGGGTGGTGACGCACTGGAACAGGTTGCCCAAGGAGGCTGTGGATGCCCCATCCCTGGAGGCATTCAAGGCCAGGCTGGATGTGGCTCTGGGCAGCCTGGTCTGCTGGTTGGCAACCCTGCACAGAGCAGGGGCATTAAAACTAAATTGTCTTTGAGGTCCTTTTCAACCCAGGCCATTCTATGATTCTATGATTTACCACCAAGTGCTCTATGAGATGCCTGGAAAAAAAATGCTCAGCTCCTACCCATATTTGTCAGAATGTTTTTTCTTGAATGCAAATTATATGGGATGAGTCAAATTTGGAAATCTTGGGAAATGAGCAGTATCAAGAGGTTCTGTGGAAACTTTGCTTTCTGGAAGGAATTTGACAAAGTAGGAAGAATTTCTACATGAAGAGGCCAAAAGAACTACGTGTGAACAGATGGTGACTGACAGTACCATACTCTCAGGCAGACTGATTAGTGCAGCCTCAGTGCCACGATAACATAGATGTGCTGGGCTGGAGCTGTCTGACACTTGACAGCTGAGAGAAAATCAGCAATTGGTTGCACCTATTTGTGCTGACATACTTAAGAAGGCAGGAAATTGTGAGAAGGCAGAGTAAAGGAAACAATACTTATATACACAAACATATATGTAGGCATATATATATATGTGATGATAGTTTTTTTCTTTGTCTCTTTAGTAAGGAAAGGAGGCTGTTTCTTCTCCATCGGGTTTTTTAATTGCATCTCTATTTAAAGATGAGTATACATACTCTGTACCAATGTAGTCTCCATTTTATCAGTAGCTCCCATACAGCTATCAAGAAACTGGCTGTTAGTGGGAGCTACATCCTAAGAGCTGGGAAAGCAGAGATTATCTCAAGGATTGCCAGGACCTCAGGAGGAGCTGAGTAATGCAGATCAGGTGATGCAGCTCTGCCATCTTAGAGAAGGCAAGGGTTTGCCTTCATGAGTGGAATCCATTAACGTCACTTAGATCTCCCTCCTGCTTCTCCAGAGTGTCCAAGCTGATCATCATTCTATTTAGAGCTGTGGCACCAAAGCTGGGCTCGGAATACAATGAGAAGGCAAGATTCTCAGTCTGCTCTCATCTGTACAAAGGAACCGGAGGGGCACTTTCCCCAGGTCAGACAACCTGGCACTGGTTTTATGCTGAGGCAATGCCTGGGCAGGCTTGACAGATGCACAGTGTTTTGAAACAGAGCTTGCATTCTTAAGGCTGCCAACTGCACAGAACAGAGCTGAATGGTGCAGTTCTTGGCTGGAACAAAACTGGGAAGTCCCTGGCTTCTTCCATTCAATTGGAAATAAAATATAAAGAAAGGGCATGAACATCCTATGAGATAAGTTCCATACTAAGACCTTACTTAAAAACACAGCTATTTATGCGCAGAGTACAAAGCCTTTAGCAGAAAGCATGTGGTATAATTACCATCCTTTACAGGCCTATTTTGCCAATGGGGAAACTGAGGCAGAGAGCAGGACATGTTGCTCAACAGGCACACGTGAAGTTACACAGCTTAGAGGAGAATCCAGGTGTCTGAAGTCCATATCTGACATTGTAGATATAAGCAGAGCTACTTCTTAGCTATCTATGGAATTCCCTGCAATTAGCTACTGAGCAAAGAGCTTAGCCATTCTCTCCTCAATCAGATACATTTATGAACACCTAATTTCACTGAAAACATTCTCAATAAACTAAAAATAGAATCATATGATCATAGATTCATTAAGGTTGGAAAAGACCTTTAAAATCACCTAGTCCAACCATCAGTCCACACCCACTGTGCCCACTAACCCATGTCCCTCCATGCCACATCCACACAGTTTGTGAACACCTCCAGTGATGGTGACTGTACCACCTCCCTGGGCAGCCTGTGCCACTGCCTCACTGCTATTTGTGAGATGAAATTTCTCTTAATACCCAACCTGAACCTCCCTTGGAGCAACTTCAGGCCATTACCTCTCATTCTATTGCTGTTACCTGGAAGAAGAGGCCAACTCCTATCTTGCTACAACCTCCTTTCAGGTAACTGTAGAGAGCAACAAGGTCTCCCCCTGAGCTTCCTGTTCCCCAGACTAACATTTCAGACAGCAGATCAGTTGCATGTATCCATGGCTATGGGCAGCTTTCCTTTGCTGAGTCAGTTACATTTCCTATTACTAAGCATCCCTACCCTTGTCTCTAGACCATAAATGAATTTCTAGATACTGGACAAGTACATCTGTATTTTTTTATGAAGTGTAACAATTTATGGCTTGATTTCAAACATCAGGTTCCAAAGCCAGATTCATTTAGTTCTGAAAGCATCACAGCAGGTTACATGGCTGATAAACTGGTTTTAACATAACAGTTAAAAATACTTATCTGATGCATTGCTAGCCTGAAGGCATGTACAACAAAGACTTTTTTTATATAACCCACATACACAATACGGAGCTCTATTAAAATATTTTCCTCTCAGACTTCTAAAAAGTGTCATATTGTAATTTTCATTTAAATTTAAACTACATTTAAAATTAAAGTGGTGATCTCCAATGACCCATCACTGAGATAGATCAGCCTGAGGCAAGAGTAGCTCCAATAATTTCAGCCTTTTGGGGGACCTGCACCAGAGGACATTTCAGGGGGCTGTGCTGCATGTGATTGCACTGTGTCTGCACACCTCTGATTGCCAGTGAGCAACAGCTCGGCTTTGGAAGTGGCAGGAATGATGGCTCTGCAAGCCAAATCCTACATGGAGAAATGCAGTTACCTTATTTGGGCAAAAATAGCAAGAAAAGGAGAAGGTGCATCTATAAAATCTAGTTTATTTTCATATCAGTACTGATTCACTCAACAAGAAAAGCAAATATGGAACATTATCTTTCCCAATGTTTTTCTTCAAAAGGGAAGAACAATGGTGATGTTCAGAGCAGACAAACAGCCAATGGAGTGCTCTCCTCCCACTTGAGCCCCCACAGACACTCTGATGGCTTTACAGGACACAGCTTATCCTTACAACTGATGTGTATTACAGAAGACCTTCGAGACCTTCAAATGAAGAGATGTTTGTAACTAAAAAGCATTTAGTATAATAGAGTCCAATAAAACAAGTTCTTTAGTGTATATGCAATTGCACTGAATGTTTTGGAGTGTAATGTCATTCTGCTTTTGCATACATTCTTTTTCTGAGTAAAACATTTGTGCACAGTATTGGAGATGGAATTTTACGTAGTTACAGTGGATGACCTTCAGCTTTTATTTTTTGCCTCACACTCTCACAAAATATAAGCTAAGCTACAACTCAGTCTCACACTTTGACCTTTTAAAATTTACTTTTAAAAATAGAGGTTATCTTTTATGTTGCAAATTATGCCTTCATCTTGTATAATCCCACAAGTCTGATATCACAGTCCCACTTCAATTATGCTAAACTCTTATGTTAATTTTAAATCATGTAACTTAATTCCTGGCAAAGCAGGCTGGTGATTTTCAAAATGTGGTTAATGAGGCAAAGTACAATCTAGATTCTGCTACTGAGATCATCTGAATCCCTTAGGTCACTGAAGATGACTGTGGAGAGGCTCTTCTTTGCAAAAGTCGGGCTTAGATTTTCAAAAAATGAATTTTTAAGTGCAGTGAGGGGCTATGAAATTTGAAGTTGAGCATACAAAGAAGTTGAATTACTTTCACTAGAGCCATAGAACAACAGTGCAGCTAAAACAATTACACTTCTGTGCACACACGCTTCAAAAGCCTTAAGTAGCATCCTCCCTTTTTAAATCACAAATGCAAACCATACCAGATTTTCAAGATGACAGCCCAGGGACCTGGTGCCTATGTCCATGGATGCTTGCAAATCAGTATCATTTTCCCTCTCATTTGCAGAAACCAAACATTTGCTAATAACTTCTTTCACCCTCTCAACTCAAACAATGGTTTTATCTGAGAACAGCTAGTAGACAAAATCTTATGAGACTGTACAGCTTTTTCAGTACAATTACATCCCTCTCCACATCCAAATCTCTTTCATTCTCTGGTCAGATAGGCTGAAAGCTTGTCACTGAGGCAAGCTCAACGTTAAGTCTCCAAAGAGCTTGTGCTTTGTAATGTATTAATATGTATTTCTCTGTATTAAAGAAATAATTCAAAACATGCATTAATTCATCTCCATTCTTTATTAGCATGCTAAACTTTTCATTTGCATATGGTTTGGGGAACAAATTTTTCCTTTTTTTGTCTGCAAATTAGCAATTAATTAACAAACACCTACATCAGACAAGACAAAGCAAATATATGGAAATCAAAAGGTTGGTGTACATTCATTTTTTACTCAACTTCCTTGATGACACGGAATAACTCACGGCAAGAGTGAAGCAACCAGAATTTGAGGCACTTACCTGAAGAAAGGTCTCAACAGTTCCATCCCAAACACTTCTGGTGTTAACACCCATGGTCTACCTATGCACGATGATGGCTCATAAAGTAGTACTGTGCTCACTTCCCTAAGGCATCCATGTACCTCCTTGTTGATGCTGAACATCTGCACCTCTCCAAGCCTCCTACTGCTGATGGTCTGTGGGCTTTTTCATTCTTGTCTTTGTTCCACAGCCCAGGGAATGGGCTGGCTTTGCCATGGGTGCTAGTAGCCCCATCTGGTACAATCTCTGCCTTTGGCTGCCCAGTCTGCTCTTATCTTTTCTTCTCAGAGCAGTTCATCCTGCCTTAAGAAGAGATGGGTCTGTCTCCCTGTGGGTCACAGGAACCCATAATTACTCCTGTGAAAGGAATAATGCCATATATACACACAAGATAAAGGAAAGAACAGCAACAGTTCTGGTCATGAACAGTTTTGGGGAACAAAGGAAAAGGACATTTCACTTACTTGTACTCTGATTTTCCTCTATCCATTTTGTACAGATTACTTCTCTTCCTGGGACATCCTGGCCCTATTTATGCAACAAATTGCCAGGGCCTGGGCTGATGATTGGATACTGGCAGACCAAGAGCAATCACAGCAGTTGCAATGAAACTGCTTCTTGATACAAACATTGCCATGTCCCTTAGCCACCAGTCTAAGAATTTGCCTTAAGCTAAATATGAAGACTATCTTAAATACTGGTGCCACAGTATTCATCATTTGGTTGACTCCAGCGTAAAATTAAAATGTTAATTTTAATGCACACATCAGTTCTCTGAAAGAAGGGTTATGTATCATCTATATAGTACATCAGTCAAAATAGGGTAGTGGACAGTGATTTCAGGTTGCAACCCAAACTTATTCTGCTAAACAGCTGAGTTGCTGTGTCATTTGCAGTGTTATGCATTTGTTCTCATGACCATCCTCCAATGTAAAATACTCAGATCTAAAAGCAGCTACAGTCCAATGGTAATCAAACAGCCAACTCATACAACTGAGAATACTGCAAACATCTTTAGAAAATTAGCCAATGCTTCTTTATTAATAAGAGACAGAAAGTAAAAAATACATTAAAAAAATAGTTTCAAAACCAATTTATGAAGCAGACACACCAAAAGGAATCATGCTACTCCAAATGATTTTTTCTTAAACTCTTAAAGAACTTTAGGTAAGCTAATGTAACATCTGGCTGTGCTACCTCTTCCACAATAATGGTATAAGCAGCTCTTTCAGGCATTTTACTGCAATTTATGCTGTTTATGGGTCTTACTTTTTGGTGCATTTTATTGTAACTTTATGTCACTTTAGTTTATAAAACCTGCACTAAGCCAACACAGCTCCACTTAGCAGCCACTCTGTTTCCTTTCAGAGGTAGCATCAAAGTAGTTCTTCTGAATCCCAACATGATAAATATCTAACAGAAGCCTGAAGCTATCCTGATTCTATACAATTGGTGATGTATAATTGAACATTAAATAATCCAAGTAATAGAAGTCATAGATCAGCTGTCTCTCCTCTTTAGACAATTCCTTTAAGTATTGCTTCACTACTTCTGCACTTGTTCTTTCATCGGAGGAATGTCTGTCTTTGAACCTAGGAAACTTTAGCTCAGCTGGAGCACCTACCAGCTGCAAAAAGTAATTGGCGTCTTCTTCCAGAGTTTCAAACTTTCCTATAAAATCATAGTTGATGAGGCAGGGATAGCAGAGCTTACTGACTTGCTCCCAGTGAATGTCCATTCCTACTGGACGATGGGAATCTAACAGATACTGGATAAACTCCTTGAACTTAACTCCTGATCCTGTTTCCAATGCCTCCTCATTTGCATTATGTCTATACTTCTTAATTATTGCCTTCCCAAACACTGGATGGTAATAGCTATTTGGATGTTCAAACTTATCCCTGAAGGCAGATACCAGTCTTTCCAAAGGATCACGTACAAATATAGTCTTGGTGTATGTGTTCAAACGTGTGTATATTCCTTTTAGGTCATAACTGTCCAGTTTCCTTAGGTGCTTTCCGTAGTGCACATCATCATGGGAAATATTGCGTACCGAAGTGGCAAGTCCATTGAGCACCATGAGGACCCTTTTCCAATTGGAGCAGCCTGCTTTTGGCACCTCGCAGTACAGGACCTTGTGCCTGTCCTCCACATAAATTCTTGACACTATGTGCACCAGGTGAGTTCTCAACTTCTTCATACTGTTGTATTTCTTGCAGAACTCATATAGGAAAGACCTGCGCTTTTCCTGGATGCTATCAACATCCTTCCACTGGTCACCCGTAACCAAAGTCTTGTTCAAAGGGTGCAGCACAGGAGGCAAATTTTTGAACTGGCTGTAGGGTGACTTGCTGATCTTCTGCTGTTCAGAGAGTCCGCTCACCAAGGAGACAGCTACTGCACCAAAAGGGTCGGCCTTTCCCTGCCATTGCTGGCTGCCCATCATGGCCACCTCCTGCCTACCAAGTTCAGGAGGAATATGCCTGCTCTGTGCCGCTTTCCTCTGTGTCTCTGGAGGTGGGAGAATGAAATCCTGCGAACATGGAAAAAAACAGACCTTAAAATGCAGCCACAGCACAGCCAAGCCCTATCACATTCCAACAGTGGCATAGACAGTGGCGTGCAAGCAAGGTGCCTTAAGTACTACAAGCCCTATCTTGAACCACTTGATCAATACATCTAGTTTAGCAACAGCCTGAGCTAATTACTGGAATACATACATACTTGGCAGTGCACAGCAGGTCTGCCTACAGAAAGATAGCATATACCAAATCTTTCAAGACACAGAGGGATGCTAATATTCCCAGCAGTGATGGCCAGCCTACACCATGCCTATGACCTTTACCCTCCACGACAGCACTGGTTGAATTACAGTGCTGCTAACAGCTTTCTAAACTGAGCCAACTGAGCCAATTGTTGAGTGAACCTGCTTTTACCACTGTGAGCTGGAATCCCTGCCCCCCAATGGCTGCACAGCCAGTGCTGGTAGTAGGGAACCAAATGAAGGCTCCTGAATAGGTGACATCAGTGCCTTTGGATAGGGTAGAGTGATAGCTGACCCCCCTCTCCAAACAGTTCCTCTTCCTGATCCCTATGGATAGGTCACAGAAGCCACAAGCATTAGACTGCATGCAGATAAAGCGTTTGCCATACAGAACCTCAGATAGCTGCAGTCACAGCCAAAAAATAAGTGTTTTCAAAGCTTATTCCATCTAACTTATTTAAACATCAACATTAATGTCACCAACTAACTAAACATCAACTAGTGACCCTGCAAAGAATGTAAGAAGATGAGACTTTCCTCCCAAACATTTCTTCCAGTGTCGCCAGCTTCCATGAAATCCACAAGCTGCAGGAACAGCAAAGCTCAAGTCTCTGTTTTGCAGTCAAATTCTACAAATTATCATGCAAGTCGACTGAAGACATTTTTTGCATCTTAACTATTCTTGTTCTCTCTTCTTGAGTGGATTCTATTGTGTTTACTATAGCTTGTACACTTTTGCCTCCTTTCTGCAGGCAAGCCTGCAGCACTGCGACATTAATAAACTGCCTGTTTCTTTGCATTTCTGAAAGGGAGGAAATTGGTCAATATGTTTTTAAATATCCCATAGCAAACACCAGGTAACCAGATGGACACCTATACACAGACTATCTGATTTCATAGGCCTAACTTTTTTGGAAATCCATACAGAAGGATTCTTTTGCCATAAAGTGATTAAACATTTACTGGAAAGTTGATTTGTGGACTAGCAGACCCATGCTTAAGCATGGGTTTCGGAGGATAGGAAAGTTCACAGACCAACTCCAATAAAGCTGTTAACAATTCAGAGAAATAATGTAAGAAATGGCAATGTACTGAACACAACTTGAATTCCTGTTTGATATAAAGCCTATAGAAAAAAAACTGTCAGTTTGAAGAAAAATTAGCCTACCTTAACATGTATTAATTTCCAGTGAGAAAAACTAATCTGGGGGGTAAGGCCATTGGGTACTGCCACAAGCCACAGACCAACAGACATTTGCTTTCATTGAATGGAGTAAAATGATTATTGTACTGGTGAAAGCAATAAAAGAAGAGAGCCATGAAGGACCTGTACATCTAAGGGAGCTCTCCTGTGTCAATGTTTTCAGACTTGCAAAAGGATAAAAATTCTTGCAGTTTGGCCTGATGTGATCTTTCTCATATCATCTAATTTTTGTGATCTAATATTTAATTATTTAAACAGAAGAAACACGTGTGCATAGAGATCTATCCCTTCTGCTTTAGGATAGAAAGAGTTCAGGTGTGTGGTTGATGTATAATTACAGAAGGTAGTGTTGGTACTAAGAGGGGGGATGACAATGGCGACTTACAAATGCTACTGTAGAACCACAGGCCTACAAACCATTTGAATTTTTTGACCTTATAAGTAACTTTAAAAGATGAAAATGAAAAATATGGGTTACAGAGAAATCTAGCACTCAACACCGGGCTCAGCAGAGACAGGAACAAAGTAATCAAAGGTCTTAAATTAATCAGCACGGATCTGGGGTATTTTATAAAACAGAAGACAGTCCCCCAAAACTGTGACTAGACTGTAGTACCCCAATGCAGAAAAAATTCAGGAGAAGGCAGAAGTACATCATTCCTATGCTATGTAATTCTAGTTTAGCTGTCTATTTCTGAGGACATTTCAG